TTGTGATCTTGGCTTTGCTGACAACTGGAGCATTCCCGTTATCCTGAGTGTAAGGGGAGGTTGGGTCTTTGAGTCAGTTCCCAGGAAGCATCAACGTTCATGAGATACGCATTTAGTGCTGCAGGTTTCAAGAAAACATTATTTCTTACTCCTGTATAAGAGACTGTTGTCTCCAGAAACTGAGTGTAGACCTTAGTAAAAATAGCTAAATTGGAAAAAAAACAATTCATGAACAGGAAGGGAACAGGGAAAAAGAAAAGATGCCACCACTGCCTGAAATACCTACAGTGCAGGGACCCAGTCAGATGAAGCTACCCTAGGATGACCCTATAGAGTGGACAGTGCTCCCCTAAACAAAATAAAATCAGATTCCCCAAATCCCAGACTGCAGTAGTTGCTGTCAGTTCCTTCCTGACCTCCGCGTCCTCAGTGCTTCCATGCTGCCAACCTTCACCAGCTTCACACAAGCTCCTCCAGAAGCCCAGGAGAGGCACAATGGCCGCAGCCCTCTCCAGAGTTCAACACGGCGGTGGTGTGACTGGGAGAGGTCCAACTGGCCTCTCCGTAGTCATGGTTTTGTATCCAAGCCCAAGGTCATAAGCATCGTTTACAAACGCCAACGTTTACAAACTGTGTTGAAATGTCTCTCTGTTAGCTTTAGGCTCGGATGTTGTGTGTGTCTACAATCACCCCACCTTCAAGATTGTTCTCAAAACATCGCTGAAAGGCAAATATACAACCAGGGAGCTCCAAAGCATAACTGCAACGACACACTACCACGTATTGTGCACAAAACCTTCCAAAACACCCAAACACCACCACTTCACCTCCAAGCTGTTAATTTGCTTTTACTTTAATGTGAGTGCACACAAAAAATGAGACCAAATCAGAGCCAAGATAGCATGTCACTGAGCCCTGTGCCCGAGACTGGCTCAAAGGGAGGTGGTGCTTGGGTTGGAACATCTCCACACTAATGTGCTCGCACAGTCTTTGCTTGGGCTTGCCCATATCAGCAGTCAAGTCAATACCTGGAGTCAATCCACATAGGTACATAAGGTTGTCTGATACGATAGAATGGTTTGGGTTGGAAGGGACCTTAAAGGTCATCCAGTTCCCACCCCCTGCCCTGGGCAGGGACACCTCCCACCAGACCAGGTTGCTCCAAGCCCCATCCAGCCTGGCCTTGAACCCCTCCAGGGATGGGGCAGCCACAGCTTCTCTGGGCAGCCTGTTCCAGTGTCTCACCACCCTCACAGCAAAGAATTTCTTCTTAGTATCTAATCTCAATCTCCCTTCATTCAGTTTAAAACCATTACCCCTTGTCCTATGGCTCCGCTCCCTGATCAAGAGTCCCTCCCCATCTCTCCTGGAGCCCCTTTAGGGACTGGAAGGGGCTGTAAGGTCTCCCCGAAGCCTTCTCTTCTCCAGGCTGAACATCCCCAACTCTCTCAGCCTGTCCTCACAGCAGAGGTGTGTCTGTCTCCACCAGCTCTTACACAGGGTCACTTCCCTGCTGGAAGGTTTGCATTTCTGCCCACCCTGCAGTCATTTCCAGGAGGAAGGAGAGGATGGACAACATGGTTTCAATCCTTCCTGCTCAGGTATCATGGTATCAGTGCATCCTCTGCCTTTTGGACAACGAGATGCAAAGGTTTGGGGAGGCTACAAAATCAGAATCAGGAACACACAGTAATACCTGCTCCAAACCAGTTTTACATCATTTGTCTTCACGAGCAATCTGCTTGCAGCCCCACCACTGCTCACCATTAAGCATACTGGGAGACAGCCTGGAGGCAGAAGGCCCTGAACTGAAAAGATGTTCATTTTGCAGTACTGTAAAACTTGACTTTCCATTTGAATTTATTCTTCAGGTATTTTTTAAGTTGAAAAAAAGAAACCCAACGAAACAAACCCAAACTTACATCTGTTCTCACCACAGACTTACCTTTAAAATTCCTTATCAGCTGAGAAATAAAAAACCCCTGAACTTTCTCCACTGCTTGATAGGTCCTACAAAGAGGCAACCACACTCAGCCTTCCCTGTTTTTTACTACTTTTCCCAGGGACATCACAGCTGCAGCCATTTCATTTAAATGTTCTTACAATAGGATGCTGCCTTTATATCATAGAACTGGATAATAACTCCTTTTCATTCTCTTTAATATCAGCATAAGCACACTCTTCATTTCGGTTTGTATCATTTCTTGCTGCTTCCAAATACTGAATATTTTAATTGTATTTCTGACTCCACTAATAGGATACTTCAATATTCTATTACAAAGAGACACTGAGGCAGGAGATAAAGCTGGAAAGGAGTTTTATCAAATAAGTCTCAGTCCTGTTGCCTGTCTCAGTCTGAACACAGAGAATCACGTTTCCTGTTCTGGTCTGATTCCAGCTCTTCACAATGATCTACAGAAAAATAACCAAAAATTGGATTTCTGCCCTTTTTTCCCCCTTATTCATTAGCTGGGTTTTTTTGGGGTGGGTTTTGTTTTTTTTTTTGTTCAGTGCAAACTCTTACTTTCCTGGATCTGTAAGCAGTGCCTGAAGTGCTCTGCTCAGCCCAAGTATTTTCCTCACTCTTGGCTGATGAAGCAAATCTTTAAGAATTTGTGTAGAGGTTTTGATCCAAAACCTTTCCCAGACACGTAAATGTTCCTTATTTTTTGCTATTATTATTAATCATGTCTGAATTTAAAAAAAAAAAATGTAAACACCAGAATAAAACTCCTCTCCCCTGAAGCGGGTTGGTATGTTCTAGAGCATCATAGTCCATCCAGGTCCCTCATGCTTCAGCTGCACAAGGATTTTGAGGAATTTCTGAAGGATGGGCATAAGCCTGAGGGCTTTCAGATGGCACATCAAAGATGACGCTCTTACATGGGCCCAAATCGCTCCCAATCTCCTCTGTGCCAATAAGGCCATCATTGCTGGTTTGTGCTACAGTGACAGTATTAAATCTTATTTGATTATTAAAAAAAATAATAAATCAGCTGAGTGGGTGGCGAGAGGGGCCGAGTACAGACAAAATCTGAATGTGGGTAGTTGAAAAAGAGTAACACAGAGATGCTTTTAGAATTTTAAACCATCAACGCATCAGCTCAATACATTAAAAGTGCAGAAATAACTCTTCCTTCCCTAGGTCCTGATGACTAGAAACCACAGCTCTGGACTCCTGGTGTAACTGAGTAGTGAAGCAGCAAAATACACTTTGACGTTTAAAAATAGGTAAATAAAAATCTTACAGTTTAAATCACATAATCCCAAATCCACTTCTTAATTCCACTGACTTCAATCAAGTAACTGAATGTGCGGGACCTCGCAAGTCTAATAAAATCAGATAAAGAATCCTGCTATTGAGCTTCCATGGAACAAGGATCTTATGCACTGAAAGGCCATACAGTCTGTCCTAAAAGAGTTTTGGCCTGTCACCTCTCTATCTCATGACAAATATTGAAGCATCTGCAAAATTCAAGTAGGAGATTAATTTTCGCTGTTCGTACAGCATATAAATTTCAAATACTTTAACACATGAAGTCAAAAGGAGCTTTCTGAGTGTTTTAAAATGTCAACAATTCAAGTTATTCAGGACTCCCCAAAGTGCTGGTGTGTCCTCCACTACCCCCAGCCCCAAAGCTACAGGCTGAGTGTGTGTGAGACAAAATATTGTCACTTCCAGTTGTTAGTAAAAGGAAAATATACTAAATATCATACTCCTGTGTACACACAAATTCTATTTAGGTGATCAAGTCATCTTGGAAGGCGACGCAGTGGCAGGCAGTGTACATTTAAGCTTGCAAAAGCACGTGATCATTAATCTCCTCCTGGGGGATTTCACATAAAGCTGACAATTTCGGCTTCCACCAGTAACGCTTATTTACTAAACCCTGGATTGGACTTAAAGCTCCCGTTTTTCAAAGAAAACAATTTGTCTGTACAGCAAAGCACCGCTTCGTCCTCGTTGTCTAGCAGGGACTCTCTGCTTTTTGCACTTTTAAGTTTGGGGTTTTTAGCAGCCCACCTAAATAAATAAAGAAATAAATAAATTCCTCCCCCCCACCCCCCAAAGTGACACAAAATCCCCCAAATAGGGCAGGAGGCAGGACGCTGCAGGGCAGTTCAGAGCCAGAAGCAGGGTACAGACTTAAAACACACAAAGCAAATAACATTTGGACATTTTTTGCCAAATGAGATTACAGGTTTGTGTTCCTCCCTCTCTCACCCATGCACAGCCCCGCACATTACAAGAGCAAAAAACGCTCAGGGAACAGAACAAAGACCCTTTGTTGTTGTTCCATAAGGTTTTGCAAAATCCCCTTCTTTGTCTAAAAACTGAACTAATAGTGTTGCTCCAGCCCCTGATGATCTATATATACAAAGCTGGTACAGAGCAGGAATATAGATTTCTGTTAGAAGGACTGATAACATTTGAAAATACAGACAAGCTTTTGAGAACGCAAGCCCCAATTTACAAGCATCTCTATTCAGAAAATTAAAACAAAAGTAGTAAATAGTGCAGCCATTGAAATGCACACACTCTGAAAGGACACAATTGGAGCTTAAAGCTTATCGCACCCAGCTGTGTTTGAACAGATCTCTTATGGTTACCTCCCCCCTGAATAAAAGTGCTAATACCAATACAATTTAAAAGCCAGTTTAAAATCAAAGCAACTACAAAAATTTTCCCCAAACCAGCAAGTTCTCGCTCTGCTTTTAATCCCCAGCGCCTTCCGAAGGATGGTGGTGTGAATGAAGGAAAGGTGCTTAAAAGAAAAAAAAAATGAAAAAAATCAGATTCACAAAATTAAATAAATAAAAAATATATCAGCTTCACAATTAGAACTGGACAAAGTATCACCCCAAGAAGGATGGCTCACGCAGCACCCTAACAAGGAGCCTCTCCTGACAGCCTGGCCACACAGACATATTTATTTTGCTGGGCTTAACAGCATCCCTACAAGGAACCGAGCCGCTCTGCTGACAAGGCATTCTCCTACCTGAAGCTTCATTTTCCAGCAGGAATGCATGTGTGTATCCTCAGAGGAGCTTCCCCTGGTTGCATGACTTCTGTTATCCAGCCTAAAGAGAGGGAGCTGTGTGAGCAGAGCTGCTGGCTGCCCTACATTCGCCGGCAGACGAGGAGAAAGAGTTGGTGCTGCACTTGCCTGGGCTTGTTTAAGCCCCCCCTAAATATCAGACTAGTGGAGCTCAAACTAGACTAACTACTTCCTCCAGCTGATCCCAGCGAAAAGAGCTGGTGATGAATAATGCATGAGAGCTCCTACCAACACGCTCCATCCCTTGCAGCAGCTGATGTCCACCTCTCCTCCCTTCCCAAAAGCAACCCCTAGCAATTTTTGTGCCATGAAGCATAAAAATTCTCCTGATGTCCAAAGAGCAAGGAGGATGTCCCTCCCAGATCCATTTTCTTTCCCCTGCTCAATAGTCAAATCAATAGACCTAGTGATTTTCCCTATTTCTTTTTTTTTTTTTTTTTAAATATAAAAATCTGTGCAGCCAGAAGTCAGTATCTCTGGACTACACAACACCAGTCAATGCAGTTGCTTGGTAATTAATTTTTCTTTTTCCTAAGGGCTGTGATGCAAGAGAAGCTGTGTAAAGATGAACACTAAAGACAGAGAATGAATGTGACAGACCAGAAAATAATACAGCACAAAGAAGGTGGGGAAAAAAACCCCTCTTGCTGTAGAGCTGGCAAGTTAAGTTGACTGTTTACAGAGAGAAGAGATTGCTCAGGAGAACTTCGTGGGTGGAAGAATATGGGGGATAAATTCACATGATTCTTGCTGCTTCTCTTGAGCAATAAATTCCACTGTGTCAGTACAACTTTGCAAGAAAACTGCCAAAAAATTCACAGACTTTCAGATAGTCTCCCAAAGAGGAAGACACAGGACTGATTTGCAAGTGCTTTATTTGCAAGTGCAATTACTGCAACGGGCAAATGTCAATACGCGCCGCTGGTGGAGTCTGTTTGGTTTCTCAGAATTGTTTTCCTTTGATTTCGTTGTTAGACACACACCAAGTTACTTGGCATCCCTTTATCAGTTCCCTGCTGCAATCCCAACCACACAGCATTCCCAGGCTCCCACCAGCCCTTAGCTTCCTGTAAAGAAAAGGTGCCTTTAATGTATAATTTAGATAGAGAGTGCACGTGCAGCTTCCTACATCCTGAACCGTGGCTCTTCGGTTTGAACATAGCTCTCTAGACTTCTCAGAGGTCAGATTTCTCAGCTCACATCAAAATTCAGAGACAGTTCCTGCTTTCTGGGGAGACCTTGTAATGGCCTTACAGTCCCCAAAGGGGCTACAGGAGAGACGGGGAGGGACTCTTGATCAGGGAGGGGAGCATTAAGACAAGGGGTAACAGTTTGAAACTGAAAGAGGGAAGATTTAGATGAGATATTAGGAGGAAATTTCTTTCCCATGAGGGTGGTGAGAGACTGGAAGAGGTTGCCCAGAGAAGCTGTGGCTGCCCCATCCCTGGAGGGGTTCAAGGCCAGGCTGGATGGGGCTTGGAGCAACCTGGTCTGGTGGGAGGTGTCCCTGTCCACTGAACAGCTTTATATTCCATTTAAGATTAAGAGCATTTTGTACCCTTCTCCTGCACACCTGGACAATCCTGTTGCCAACACGAGAGGGAAGGATGCAGGAGAGGCCTCGCCACAGCAAGAACTCTGTGGAGCAAAAATCATCTCTCATTCAGGCGCACTTATTGGGTGGAACTTGCAATAACGTGTGGGGCATCAGCTCACGGCCACGTCGCTTCATTCCACGCTTATGCTGGGGGCCAAGCTGAATCATTCTGGTGAAGCATTTAGCTAATGGCCGGCCAGTTAATTTCACAGTCAAATTTTGTACAGTCTATTTAGTTTCTCCCGTTTTTAAATAACTGCAACCTCCCGGGGAAATTCTCTAGTCCACCATCTGCTCCTTTCCTATAAATCCTCCTTTCAGACCTTACACAAGTTTCCCAGCTGCCAATCAGAACTTCTTTGATGTCTGGGTGAAAAAAAAAACAAAACAACCAAACAAACCCAACTATTCCAAATGGAAACGTGCAGCACAAATAGATTAGTTATCCCCTGATCAGTACAATAATGATAGCAAAGCAGCAGATACATTCTCAGTGGGATGAGCACTTAATGGTCCTCCCTGGCCACACCTTGGGACAGGATGGTCATGATCTAGGGATAATTTATCTCATGTTTTTTGCTCGTTGTATTCTCTCCCAAGTTTCTGTGCACCCAAGCACCTCGTGTGTGACCATCTTGGTCAGCAGTGCCTTAGGACAGCTGGATATTTCCCAGGTCTAACCCAAAGGAGGGTGGAGGAGAGGAGGAACCAAGTTGGGTAGCACAAGGGTAATATGGGACAGGGAGATGTTAAAGCCCAAGCCATGGTTTCCATCGGTGAGTTCACATAATCACGCTCGTGCAAGTGCTGCGCTGCTCTTCTCCGGCTTGTGAAACCCCAAAAAACTTGTGAAACCCCAAAAACCTTGTGAAACCCCATGGGCTGCACAGATCCAACATTACACCAGATTTCTTCCAAACAAACAAGGCTGGAGGGAGTTTCAGCCACCATGAAGACACCGAAGGAGTCAACAGACTGCGATCCAGCAGATGTTCCTCCCAGCCTATGCAAATTCCACAGCGGAAAAATAGTAAGTGAAGGTTTTATATCTGTTTTTAATGAAATTAGCACCAGTACCTAAACTCCAAGCGTTAACAAACAGCATGTAACATCCTGTGCTTCCATGCAGGAAGCAGAAGGAGAGCGGTACCCACGGGTAGGAGCTGGCTTTTGGCTGTGCCTAATTCAAATATTTGTCCCCAGGACAATAAATTCACACTTCTGCAAAGCAATATAACAGTGCTTACCCGAGCACTGGGGGTGTCACCAATGCACCTACAAAACAAGAGTGGGGGGATAACAATACGGCCTGAAGAATTTTTCCGAAAAGCATTCAAAGATTGATTGAAGGAAAAACCAAACAACAACAAAGGAAATCCACAAAAAGCACTTCAGATTAGAGAAAAAAACAGGTGATTGAACACAAGCGAAAAGGCCAAGCAACTAAGGGGCATGTTGAGCTTCCTCAAGGGTTTTATTTCTCCTCCCATCTACAGTTTTTGGCTTTTTGTTCTGCTTTTTGGCCTCAGAACCTACAGCCGAGTTGAGAATAGCGGATTGCACACGAGTTCTCCCCAAGCAACCTGCGCGTGCAGGAACTAGTTAAGACACTTTCACAAACGTTTGAGAAATCTAAGAAAAAAAAAAAAGTGAAAAAGAGAACTTTGTTATAAAGAGGAACTGTAAGAGCTTCCTCAGAAGTTCCTCAAAAAAAGGACAGACTCAAAGCTCCCAACAGCTATAACCCACCTAAATACTGCACAAGAATAATTCATCAGAAAGGATGCAATAGACATGGGGGTCTGGGCTCTGCATTAAACACCACAAAAATTCTGCTTATAAATCAGAAGCTCAGAGTTTGCAGCTAATTATCTTAATGACTGAACTGAAAAAATGGCAGGGGCCATAAAAATGCATTGACCTCGTCTGCCTGTGAGCCACCTTAACGTCCTCCTCAGACCAGAGGAACTTGGGATGCGACCAGGAGAAAGCGCTGTCTTGCTGTAGACATATTTGCCCCATCTGGGTTTTTTGTTTTTCCAGCTTATTGTCTCCTATTAACATTTCCCTAATAGTCTGTTTTAGCTCACCAAAACTCAGAGAAGAGTGTGCCCAGAGAAGCTGTGGCTGCCCCATCCCTGGAGGGGTTCAAGGCCAGGCTGGATGGGGCTTGGAGCAACCTGGTCTGGTGGGAGATGTCCCTGCCCAGGGCAGGAGGTTGGAACTCAAGATATTTGAGGTCCCTTCCAACCCAAACCATTCTGTGATTCTATGGTAATTCTATCTGTAAGTTAAATTGTAAGTAAAAAGAGGGTGACCTAACTTCTTTGTAACACACTGACAGGTCCAAAACCACAATTAAGAGCCTGCTGCAATCAATGCAGAAAGAGTCACCCACAACCAGCAGCTAGGAGCTGAAGCCACAAAAACTCGGAATTGAAAAATAAAATAAGTCAGGTGTGGTGTCCATCAACTGTGACGGTGGTTTGGTGTGGAAACAAATCAAGTCAGAAGACCTACCCTTCATCTTTGAGCCAAGGCTGGAGGTTTAAAAATGCCTCTTCCGCATACCACGAGTGATGGGTTCAATGTACATGGCATCTAGTTACCCCTGCACCACAGGTCACTACGAGTCAGACGTGGCCCTCCCTGTCAGCCTTCAGCCTCACACACTTCAAAGGAGTCATTAAAATCAAACAAGCCATTCTCAGCCAGACCCATGGGAAAGGGTTTGGGGGTGGGAGGTGCTGCTTTTATGCTGCTGACTTGGGTCAGAAACCACGACAGTCAGCCCTTTGTCACCCAGTGCCTAGAAATACAGGGGTGTATATTTTAGATAGCTGTGTTCTGCTCTGCATATTAAAAAATTACATACAAAACAGCTGGTTCTTGGGTATTTTTTTTTTTTAAATTTAATCTGTACTCCACTTACTGAGGGAAACGTAGGGTGATGTCTCAAACTGAACAATGCAGAAGCCACCTCCTCCAGCAGCCGCTGCTTGGGGACAGTTACTAGAAAAAGGCAGGCAGGTGATTCCCAGAAAAAAATTGGCTTTCCAACTGGCGTGGGGTTTGTGCATCCAGAGATGACTAAAACATTTCCTGTTCTGAAAGTTCCCGTTCAGGAAAAGCTACTGATGCGTGTTAAAAGGCTGTTCCCTTGACCACTTTAAGGGAAAAATAAAAATAAATTAATTAGTGGGTATTCAAAAAAACCACAGAAGCAGTCCCTACAACTTTTACACTTTTTTTTTTTTTTAAGCTCCTCTCTCTAAATCCTAAGAAAAGGATGACCTCATACTTCTCTTCGGGATTTCATGCCAATCCATAACTCTAAATCAACATGCGGGACTTGAAAATACAGTACAGGAAGAGGAAAGAAAAGCTAAAAATTAAAAAGTAGTATGGAATAGTCAGTTCCACGGGCTGTGTGGTAAAACCTGGCACCAACATCCACTGCAGAGGTGACAGGACACAACTTCTCCCGTGTGACATCTGTTCCTGTAGAGCCTCAGAGGACTTGGAGATGCTCCTGCTTGTATCCACCCTGGGAAGGCAGTACAGGACTACAGGAACTCCAGCCTTCTGTTCCATACAGCCACAGCCCACATGCTAAAAGACAGGTGGAGATATGCCTCTTGTTTCCAGCAAGCATCTTTTTCTCTCTTAAATAGAGGTTAACATCCTCCACACAGCACAAATCTAGCATGGGAGATTCTTCA